CCAGGGCTGCAGAAGGCAACTGGGTTCAAGCCAAGCCAAGAGGCTTCTACTCATTTTTGGTCCATTTTGCCTATTGCTCCAGGAAGGAGGAGATGCCTCCAACCAAAGATGAGTCTTGGCAGCTCCCTCTCAAGGGAAGTACAAGAATATTTGCTTTATTGCAATGCCCTGGTCCACACCTGAGTCAAGCACACCGAGGGGGAAGGCACGAGCCCTTCGGTCATGCCCGTGCTCGAGATGCGGTTCCTCAGGAGGTTGACACCACGATGTCAGATGGTGACAGCACTAAATTAACACAGTTTAGAGCTTTGCGGAGGGGTTTAATGACTCTCTCAAAACCCAGGAGAGGATCAACAGTGACCCTTTGCCGGGTGCTCCCGAAACCAACCCAAGGCAGGGAGGGACAGCAGCCGTGGGAGAAAGATGCATCTCAGAGACAGCAGCACAGGTTGCGACAAATGCAAGCCGTTCCCCAGCTTCAGGAGCGACAGGAGGACAACAAACAATAAAACAACAAGAATAACAACAACAACAAAAAAAAAAAGAGTTCAACTAACTTGTCCCGGCAGCTGCGTGGGCACTTCCTGAGGAACACAGCCTGGCAGGGCAGAAGAAACAGCCACATGCTCCTCAAAGCTGTTGATGCGAGGTTTTTTGGTGGGCTCTGGGCTTGCTAGAGGGGTAACGCTATTACGTCTCATGAGCGGGTTAGGTCCCTTCTTTGCTTCCTAAATTAAAGTGAGACAAAGAAAAAAAAAAAAGTAAATTAAAAAAAATAAACCAAAGGGAAGAAGGCGACAGTTATAAAGGAAAAAAAAAAAGCAGGTTGTTTTGGTTTTTTCTCTTAAAGCAGTCTCTCCTTTTCCCCACAACTGTTGTCAATGTGCAAAGGATGCATTGAAAGGTTCTGGACACTGAAAAAAACTGCTGGTGTGAAACGTTCAAGAACGCAGCCTGATTTCCCAAGAAGGGGAGGGAGGGGGGGTAAAAAAAAAAAAAGGCCCTGCACTCAGAAATGAGACAGACTTTCTCCTCACCTGAGCCTCTGCTCACAAAAAAGTAAATATA